TGGGAGCGATTGCCGTGGTTCAATGTTTTGCGTCGAAATCGGCCGAACATGACATCACTCTGACGTCATTTCCGGCCGACCTATGGTAGCTACGAAGTTCATATTTTGACACAAGGTGTCAAATTGATGCAGCCGAAGGTACTGAAAGTTTGGCGTCTTGTCGTGAAAGCAGCTATTTTAGGTATATCAATGATTAGGTTCAGCAGGGTTCCATGAGTTCACGCACTGGTGGCTTATTCGACTCGTGAGATTAATTCCATTCAAGGTTATTGACAAAAAGAAAAACGATGACCTCAAACGACCATACAAAGTACCAGCATATACGACGTCATGGAAGGTCCTCAATGCAAAACCTAAGAATCGCTCTTTGCAAAGTGTATGAAATCACGATTAGGTACAGGTGTCTGATAATTGATTACAGGCTTCGATCGTTTCCGGCATCAAAATAATAGTTTCAATGTTTCAATATTTCCCATTGACTTGTAATAGTGAAGTCACGTGACCAGCTTGACCTCGGGTGAAAGCTAGGAAAGTTGGAGGAATTGATGTGAAATCTCAAGAGCCGTTACGATATGCCGTTACTTATTTCATCCCCTGCAAAAAGTTCACCGAGGGCGCTGTAATGCTGCAACTTTTTGCATTGTTCAGAGATTTATTTGTGACGTCATAGGTCAGTAAGCTGAGCCTCAAACTTCTGTTGGCGTAAAAAAAAAATCCAGCTTAAGTCAATGTTCAGGTAGGTATGTCAAATTTCAGCTCACCAGCCTTACAGCGTTGCAAACGATCTCGAGAATCATCTTCTTCTTCATTTTATCTTCATTTTATTTCATCATCATTTCATCATCTTCATTTTATATACTTTTCAAAAGAATCACAATATCTTACGTCATTAGTCCGAAGGGCCTATAACGGGGAACTTTTTGGAATCATTACGGTTTTAGTCAAATTAAGATTTTTCATTGGTCAAACGATAATGACGTAATAAAACAGTATTACCAAAACGTGAGCTGTGAATTTCGTTTGTCTTTTTTGGGAGGCTCTCATAACGACAGCAGCATGGCCCCGCACATGGCACGATGCCAAATGTAGGTAATCTGAAGAAGTTGATGCCTTTTTTGAACTTGGAATTTTATTAGAAAAGTATTAGAGGTTGGTTGCTATTCTTACTAAATCAGAATTGTGTTGGGCATACCAATAGCTAATATGAACATCATGAATTGGGTTTTCATACCTGGTAGAATAAGTGGACTGCTGGATTATTCTGAGCGAAACTGACCTATTTTGCTTTAAAGGGACCCTCCCACCTTCAAAAAAGTTTATGAATTGGCATGAAAGTGATGTCGCTCGGTTCAGAAAGAGCGAAAACGAATATCTACCAAATTTCACCGAAATATATTCACCGGTTTTCAAGATATTAGACTTTTACTTTTGTTTACTTTTTTTGGGATCTCCGCTGTTTCTAGCGACTTTATTTTAGAAGTGCGGCGTTTGCGGCAGATGTTGCGCGCAAATAGCATATACCACCGCGTGCTACAAAACGTTTTAGTCAAACATTTAAAAATCGTTAGATATTTGCGCTGACGTCACACATTCAGAGGGGTATACCTAAGCATTAGCCCCTCTGAATCAAAATGCCGCAATTTTGAAATTCAATATTTCCGATTTAACCCTCGCCCATGTAGGGGGGGGGGGTTGGTGCAACCCCCCCCCTGAGGTTTTTCGGAAATAGTGCAAAAACGGCGGCGCGCAGCGCCGCCAAATTTTGGGTACCTTATGGGGCAAACCTTGCGCATCTTTTGATAAAAAAAATTTGACCGGGTCATGTCAGGTCACGGAGTTATGACGTCACAAAGGGAACAGCCTCCGACCGGATTTTCACAAACTGAGTGCCAACGCCCGAGGTTTCCTGCCGGTGGTACGGAGATCGGTTGATGGATCGTGATGAAACTTCCCATGCATGTTGGGGCAAGTATTGGCTATCATATGGTATAAGAAACTTGACCGGGTCAGGTCAGGTCACGGAGCTATGACGTCACAAGAGGAACAGCGTCCGGTACTATTTTTGAAAAGCGCCCGAACCACTATTTTGCTAATTCTTGTCACCTCAATGGGAATATGCAGCAATATTAGCTTCTATAGGGAGCAAATGGACCTCCCAAATCCAAAAATACAATCAGATTTCAAAAATTTAAATTTTGATTTTTCGAATTTCTGCCGCCGACTGTGACCTTGCCGACTTCCGGCGCTCCCAACGCGCCATTTTTAGAGCTAGGGAAACGAAATACATACCAAACGATAGAGAATTGATCAAGGAACACGATAGTGAAGGTTTCAAGTCGATATCTCCCACCGTTTTGCCGCAATCGCCGCCGAAAGTTGAAAAAAGTCTATTTTTCCGAAAATTTGACCTTTGACCGGTCAAAAGTAGGTCAAATGTTGACCTAGGACCAAAAAATATACCACCAATCGCGAGATCTCGGCGAGAGCAATCCGTTGGTCTTTTCCGCTAAGCTCTACGACGCTCCGTTTTCAAACGCCAAGGGGGGGGGGTCGCACCAACCCCCCCCCCCCCTGCATGGGCGAAGGTGGCAGATCGCCGTTTACGGGCGAGGGTTAAGGCATTTCTCGATGTTGTGAGTGCCGAAACCGGTAATTGTGAGCCAGGGACCCCATTTTGGCTATCTCAACTCAAATCTAATGTTAAGGTGGGAGGGTCCCTTTAAGGTTTGATTTCCTAACATCTGTCCATAGGCGGCGGAACGGGGGAGTGGCACCAGGGCACTGTGCCCCCCATAGATTTTGGCATTTTAACATTAGCCCTACTCACTGTACTGGCGTTGCATGGAAAGAATGGGACCAAAAGTCTGCAGTGCCCCGCCGCCACTGCATCTGTCTGTACTGTTTGTTCATTGAATTAAAGTGGTTGTAGCTTGTTGATAAGATTGTCATCAGTGCTGTCATGAAAAAAATGCAATTGGTCACAAAAAGAAGCAATGTGCATGTTCTTGGTTTAATTTAAATGTAGTACAAAATACGAATGTTCTTGATTTAAAGTCAAATTGAAATTTGAATGATGATACCTAATGATTACAGCTGGTCTTAACCATGTCCACAAGTGACAATTCTCAATTGTATTGCACTGTAAAGTACAATTATTTAGGATAAGGGTTTCATTGGCTACATCTTTTCGTGAGATCCATACAGATCATAGGTCCTCCACAAATTTTTGCCCGCTGGATCCACAGAGATCATAGATCCGACCCCTAAATTTTGTCGAGAGATCCATTCAAATCATAGATCCGATCCCTGAATTTTGTCGAGAGATCCACTCGGATCATAGATCCAACCCCTCTATTTTGTCGAGAGATCCACTGAGATCATAGATCCAGCTCTCGGATCCATGCACATGTCTGATCCCAAGCCACTTAATACCTTGAAATGCATTAATCCAAAACGTTAGAGATGCTTCCAGTTCCAGGAAAACAGAATACAATATCGGCCAGTTTTCACGTAGGTAGGGGAGAACGGGGTAATTTTGTAATTTTGTACTTGTAATTTTGTTACCTCCACCCTCTCTGACCTGGTCACGCCACTGACAATTGCAATCAATTACTTCCAAATGCCGCACTTTTGTCTGCATATATTTTGTGTGTGGCATATTCAATAAGCAAAATCACTGAAAGCCCAATATTACATGGACAGAGCGAACTTCATGCGATTACTAGGTTGAGCCTTCTCCTCATTTGACCCTAACACAGCCTCGGCTGTTATGAACGGATTTTTCGCATGTCCGGCCACAACGTCTGATTTGCATTTTTTGATAATTCCTAGCCCTTTTATCAGTGCAAGCTGCATAGAAGCGTGTCAGAATTACATGCAAGGCAACACACGTCAGTGTTCGGCTCTAAATTAACTTTCTTGACCGACATTGAACAATGCCCGAAAGTGAAGCGAAATTGAAACGAAAGTGAAGCAAAGATCATTGAATAATCGCATGCCGGTTGTGTGAGTGTGAGTGCCAGGCTTTTATTTTCAATTTTCATAAACTATTTCGAGGGTATGAGGGTAGGAGAATGATTGGTTTCGGAACGTGTCACCAAATGTTCCCTTTTACCCTAAACATTGCCGCAAATAAAAAATTATATAAAAAGTTAAAGGCAAAATACCTCTCCAAATTTCTTTACATTGAATTTCCATATCCAGAGGCATCTTTTGACATAATCTTTATGTCAAAAATTTATTGGCCACATTTTGAAAATCAAAAATCAAAAATGTATTAATTTAAAAAATGTTGAGATTTGGAAAATTTTCAAAATATTTTGATTGATTAATTTTCTACAGTCAATGAGGATTCCAATTATATACATATTAATGTAAGTTACTGGCCATATTTTTATATATGAGTCAAAAAGAGGGTTACTTTGAGCATTTTGAAAAATGCCACTGGCTATAACTCGTAAAAACCGTTTGTACTACAACGCTGAAAATAGGAGATTAAGAATCTACGGTATAGATATTAGATAACCCCCTAGGCGCAATTTCATCAAAATCTGAGAGGTAGGGTGTTATGGCTTGGTCGATCTGTCATGGAACGCCCCACCTACCACCCATCACCGTTAAAAGTTGACGATTCTCCAGCTTCCCCTTTGATGAAGAATTCCTTTTGTTTCTGTTGTGTTATGGTCCAACCCCCGCACGGCTGCTGGCCGCGCCTGCGCGCGCCCCTGCCGCCGCCACCGCTGGCCGCCCCGGCTCCGTGCCTGTGAGCGCCTCTGCCGCCGCCAGCTGACTGTGCGCGCCGAGCGGCATGACTGGCGCGGGCGACTAGGCGCGGCGCTCGCCATACTTGTTTTCTTTTTGGACATTCTTCCGGCCTCAACGTATCGCAGTACAATAAATCGCGTTTCCCATTGATTGTGTGCTCTTTCACTCGAAACGAACCAAAACAAAACATGGCGCGGTCGGTTTTGTAATTACGTGACTGAGCAGCTTACAGCGCGATGAAGAAAATTTTGATTCAGGAACTGACGGCGCTGCTGGAGAGGCAGGCGGAGAGAGCCGCCGAGGCCGACAAGCGCCTGGAGCGTTTGGAGAGGCTGCTGTATAGAGAGCCCTCCGCGGGGACCGGGACGGGCACGACGGCCGGAGTGTCAGAGTCGGGGGCTGAGCGAGGCGCTGAGGGATCCGCTGGACCAGCTGCCGCCGCCCGCCGGACTGTCTGCCTGCCGGCGTCGGCGACTCCGACCCCGCACCTGGAGTCGGCCTCGACGTGCAAAGCCCGTGTCGAGTGCAGTGTGCGCGACAGTGAGACAGGAGCGGTGAGCAGGATGGAGAACTCTGAGCCGACGCTCAGACACGCCGTGACAGTGGGGGAAACGTGGAGTGCCCATGTCACGTGCCAAGACCTCTGCGGCACCAAGGGACATTTCGTGGCCCACCTGTCGGCCTACAAGAGGGACCGCAGTCGGCCGAGTGTCGCCCATGCCGCCGCCGCCACCAATCGTCAGTTTCTTGAGCGTTGCCCTACCTGTGGCCGTCGCCAGCACGACGGCGGAGACACGTGTCGCGCCGCTGGCGCCATCTGTCGTGCGTGTGGGGAACGGGGACATTTTGATGTGGTGTGCCACCAGAGGGCCACCGCCACGGCCGATCGTCCAGTGGCCCCATCTGCAGTGACAACAGTATGCGACTCTCCGGGGGTGGCGCTAGTAGCGGTAGCCGCCGGCACCGCCGTGTCACCGCCGCCGGCGGACACGGGCCAAGCCGGGCACACTGCGCTGCAGTCCACGGAGCTGAGTGACGCTGCTGACGTCCACGGAGCCTCGCCGCCGCCGGCGGGGGGCTGGCCAACGCAGACCACGGACAGTAATGAAGCCCCGGACAACGCCGTGTCACCGCCGCCGGCGGACACGGGCCGAATCGGATGTGCTGCGGCGCAGCCCACAGAGCCGGACGGAGCTACGGACGCCTACGGAGCCTCGCCGCCGCCGGCGGGAGGCATTCCAACGTGCAGCACGGACGGAGTGTACGGAGCCTCGCCGCCGCCGGCGGGAGGCCAATCGGTTGCCACCGGCGCCGCCGTGTCGGTGCCGCCGGCAGACACAGGCCGAGGAGCCGGCCGTACCGCGGCGCAGCCCACCGAGCCGGCTGGCGCGCGCGGAGCCTGCCCGCCGCCGGCGGGAGGCTGGCCAGCACAGACCATGGAGGCAGCCCCCGGCGTGTCACCGCCGCAGGCGGACACGGACCGAGCTGGATGTACCGCGGCGCAGCCTACAGAGCCGGCTGACGCCCACGGAGCTTCGCCGTCGCCGACGGGAAGCCTTCCCACGCGGACCAGCCATGGAAACGAAGCCGCTGGTGACGCCGTGTTGCCGCCGCCGGCGGACACGGGCCAACCCGGGGCCACTGCGGTGCAGCCTGCAGGCCCCGATGCAGCGGCTGTGGCTTACGGAGCCTCGCCGCCGCCGGCGGGAGGCCTACAAACGCTGAGCACGGGCCGAGGTGCCGCTGCCGGCCCCGCCGTGTCACCGCCGCCGGCGGACACTGGCCAGATTGGGTGCACCGCAGCGGGCAGTCTACCAGGCCGGCTGCCGCCTACGGCGCCTCGCCGCCGCCGGCGGGAGGCCTACCCACGCGGACCAGGGACGGAGGTACAGCCGCCGGCTACGCCGTGTCGCCGCTGCCGGGGGACACCAGCCAAGCCGACTGTTGTGCGGCACAGCCCACCGAGCTGAGTAAGACTACTGACGTCTACGGAGCCTCGCCGCCGCCGGCGGGAGGCATGCCAACTCGAAGCACGGATGGAGGCCCAGCCGCCAGCACCGCCAAGTCGCCGCCGCCGGCGGGCACCGGCCAAGCCGGCTGTAGTCATGCGGCGCAGCCTACCCAGCTGGCTGACGCCTACGGAGCCTCGCCGCCGCTGGCGGGAGGCCTGCCAGTACGGAGTGGGGACGGAGACCCACCCGAACAAATGGGAGCGACTCACGCCGCCGCGCTCCTCCGTACGCCGCAGGGATGCGTGTCCGCCGGTGACAAGTCCAACCGGCGCGGTGACACGAACCTCGGTGACACCACCCTCCACTCGGTCGAGGTGGTGGATGAGCTGTCCGACCGTCGATGACGAGGTGTGGGAGGACGCTGAGGACCCGCTTCACGCAGCTGCCGTCGCAGCTATGCTCGCTGAGCGGGATACGGAGTGCGACGCGCGTCTGCCGCCGCTCGTGGCCCCGAGTCTAAGGGTGACCACAGCCGCCGCTGACCGCGACCCGTGGCCGCCACCGACACCGGAGCGACGCCTGCCGCGGACCTCCCCGTGCGACGGCGGGCGCGTCCGCTGCAAGAAGCGCCCGAGACGCCAAGAGAGCGCAGGCGCCGCCGTCTGCACCGCGCTGCGGTGGCCTTGTGCGCCCGGACCCCGGAGTGTCTGCTGTGGCGCCTTGGGGTGAAGACGATGTGATCGTCTTGGGGGGAGGTGTTGTGTTATGGTCCAACCCCCGCACGGCTGCTGGCCGCGCCTGCGCGCGCCCCTGCCGCCGCCACCGCTGCACCGTGGGGACTTATGCCATCCTAGCACGCATTAAGTGGCAAGATAAAGTATTTCGATTTCCACTTTTTTGTTATTCATTCCACGTAAAATTGTCCAGCGCATCCGAATCACACCTTAAATCGTCTGTAAAATGATTGTTTATGCCTCAAAAAACCTCTCAAAGTGTAGCTTCGTCCTGACCAGCGTCGTGCTACCTGCATACAGCGAAAAAGCACACTACAATAAAACGCCCTCTCACTCGTTTCCCTGAACAGCAGGTTATAGTTGCGACATGTTTTCATTATCTTTGACTTATAAGGAAGCTGATGGCATGCACGAAAATTTCCAAAATTCATCCAAATGTATAATTTTTGACCGAAATGCTAAAAATGTTAAAATGCTTCTTGATTCACAGAGTTGAAAAGCAAACTATTGCCTTACAAAGTTTGATACGCGGTGTTACGCGTGGAAATGTATATCAAAATGTTCTCCAATAATTTCTGCATCGGGGGCAGCTCTCATTTTTTGCCGAAATTTGCCTAAACCAGTCACTATGAGACGTCAAAGCAGACGGTGCCGCGTGGTTTCTTACGCCCCGCCGGGCCGCGCCGCGGCGGGTTACCCGACCGCAGCACACCGCCTGGGGGTTTCCGGTCAGTATAGGAGTTGGGAGGAGGGAGGAAGGGGGTGATACCATGTTGACATTATTTTTCTATCGCCAAATGTTCTTTTTGAACAAAACAACAACACCCTTGCAACGCTGCGTCCATTTTATTGGCTATCGCCGCCAATGTTCACCTTATTGAACTTCAGTACAGAGCTTTGATATAGGTAAATCGAAAAATGCTGTAACTTTGTAAAGTGAGGTTGGAGGTTTTTGGGGTGCTAATCACGAATTTCAAGCTAGTTTTGATCGAGGATGATGTTTTCATGCTAGACCGGGTCAGGTCAGGCCCGACCAGTAGGTGTCTTGCCGGCTATCCATAGAAGGTGGGCGTCGATTACCTTTAACAGCTTCGTAGCATGTTCCGTTAGGCACCAAAACTACTTAAATCTTCAAATGGGTGTTAAGTTCGAAATAAGCTCCAAGCACTTATCTAGAAAAATCGTATAACTTGAAAAAGTCAACTAAGGTCATCTAAGGTAAATGACCTTGATTTGACCTTAACGTGACCTTAAAATGCAGAGAACAAACAGCATTTCATACCTTGGAGAGTTAACAACCACAACAAGACTGAAAACGCGCCGATAATGTGCGCTGATAAGCGCCAAATCGATACCAGCCTGACATGGTCTGGTGAAACAGGTCACAGGTCAAATTTTTATTAAGGTCAAGGTCATGAAATTTTAAGTGTGTGAGTAACATTGATCGAATCGAAGGTATAGAAAGTTTCGTCGTGATCCGCCACGTTTTGCTTGAGTTAGTATGCGAAAAGTCGAGGACAGAAGTCTGTGCGACCCCCTCCCCCTTTAAAAGTGCAAGGACTAACAAAGTGCAAAGGTTAAGCCCGAAATGCCTTTTGGTGATTGGGCTAGACATGGACAAATATCTACTTCTAAAACGATTGTAGTTTCGTTCTACTTTTTTAACGCTTCCACGCCCAAGATGCATTGCTAGCCGAAAACGCTTCAGTGCTAAGTCCGTGGGGAGGGGGCGGGGGAGGGATGGGGCCAAGCAGGAGAGCCAACCATGTTGTCAGGGATCATACACCCTAAGCCTAACCATTTGAAGGTGAAATAAAATTAGTTAAGGTAGCGGGGATGCGATATAAATAAATTCGTGCTAGGATCGATAAAAACCCCACAGTGCGCTGGCCGCCCCGGCTCCGTGCCTGTGAGCGCCTCTGCCGCCGCCAGCTGACTGTGCGCGCCGAGCGGCATGACTGGCGCGGGCGACTAGGCGCGGCGCTCGCCATACTTGTTTTCTTTTTGGACATTCTTCCGGCCTAAACGTATCGCAGTACAATAAATCGCGTTTCCCATTGATTGTGTGCTCTTTCACTCGAAACGAACCAAAACATAACAGTTTCCACAGCGTTATTGACTACTGCGCCATTTCCCTCACTCAATGAAAGGAAGCCATATATCTATATGTAAAAAAAAAAACTGATGCTCAGCTGGTGGCAGCATTTTGTTGAATGTGAGGCGAGGGTGTGTTCCACAGAACCGTGCTCCTCGTCCTCCGTGCCGGTACGGCAAGACCGAACGCACCGACTAACACATCATTGTCCAGCTTCCCACGATGAATGTGGAATAAAACATGATATCGTACTGTATGAATCTAGACTTGATGGAGCGCACTTTAAAATGTGAGAGTAAAACCAAGTAGTCCAGGTCGTCAGAGCGCCTGTCAGAGTAACGAGCTAACCACATCAGAAACTTGTGCTGCACTCGCTCGAGCCTTGTCAGGTGAGATGCAGCCGCTCCAGCCCATATGACACATGTCATATGTCCGCGAGGACATATGACACGATCCCAGCTGCATGCAACTCATTCTTGCTCCATGACCCGACCACCGACTTCTTTACTGGTAGTTCATACTCATTTCAAACACGCGCTATCGGCTTCACAATTACGCAAGGCACTTTCATGTGATCTTTTACATCATACTCACGTGCTTTACTTTTATCGATCTTGTTTTATCGAACGTTTATTCTTATGTAGGTACTGTCATCTTGTGTATTGCTTGTGTGTAACTGACTTCGTCAGTAAAAGGGCGATGGGCCTGTTGGCGATCTGATAAATACAGAATACAGAATACAGAGGCCGGAGGCGTATGCGAGCACTGAACAGGTTAAGACAATACCGGCATGGTGCAGCAGAATACGTATTATAATGCTAAACGCTCATTGGCAGTCGCAGGGTGGGGGATGAGGGGAGCTTAGGGTCAAAGATCCCCAAGGCAAATCAGGGGGCCATCAATGCCATCATATCATTTTCCCCTTCCAAGCAGCCGATGGGCCCCATGTGTGTATGGGGCCTGGCCCTTCTCCGATTGTCGCGAGGCTCAAGAAACCCACGCCAGCTATTAAGCTCCCATACCGGTCTTTAAGGGTCCTGCACTGATCTCTGAGGGCCCTTTAGTGGCGGTCAAGCATGCCCACATTGACGGCTGAGGAAGGACACTGACCTCTGAGGCAGTAGCGGCGGAACACGTTATACTTCACACTTTTTACAAATACGGATTAAAACCCAATGCCGTGAGAGCTGCTCTGGCAGTATTTATTAATTTTAAATGTATTAGTATGCGGTGGGGGATGGGGGGGGGGCATTGCCGACTTTTGGTCGCATCCTTTCCATGCAACGCCCATAGAGCTAATATTAAAATGCCAAAATCAAAGAGGGGCACGGTGCCCCGGTGCCCCCTGTTCCGCCCGTTCCGTCACCTATGCTCTGAGAGCAGACGGACACGCCTTTAGTTGTTCTACCTTACGTGAAGGGGGTCACAGAGAGAGTTACACGCGCGGTCAAACCGTTTGCCCGGGTTGCTACCAGGCCAGAGAGGAATTTGAAAAGCTTTTGGTGCACCCCAAGGACAAGAGGGACATGTGTCACAGGACGGGCCTGGTCTACCAGTATGAGTGTGCTTGTGAAAAAAAAAAAATACATAGGAGAAACGTGTCGTAGCATTAGAGCGAGAGAAACAGAGCACAAGAGGGCAATACGCAACTTAGACGAGAATCATTCAGGACTAGCCAAACATGTTATAGAAACGGGCCACTGTGTCGCTTGGGGAGATGTGAAAGTCTTAGCTTACGAGTCTGACTGGAGGAAACGAAAAATCAAGGAGGGTATTTTTATCGACAAGGCGAGAGGAAATGTGCTGAATGTGAAACCTGAGCCCTGATCGGCGGCCGGCTAGTACTCTTGCCCGCGCTCACATACGTGCACGTTACCCCGGCAACGGGCTATTGACCAATGAGAAGCGAGAAAAGTGTTACGTCACTGCGATTTTTCATATATCTGTGCCCCCCGACGTGACGTAGTGTGCTCGCGCGCGTGCAGTGTCTCTGCGATCGAAAAAGAGCGCTAGCAGCGCGCCACTCGACGCCGCAATTGTCAAAAGCGGCGTGTTAGTATGCTTTATTATGAATGATGTGTGTAAAAGTGAGTTTTTATGTTGTTAATTTGGAGGAAATGGTTGGAATAAAATAAGTTTTTTATATCTGTTGGTTGGAGTTTTTATTCAAAAGATTACGGTCTATAGCATTGATATTTACTGAAAATACCTTCGTTTGAATAAATTGCCAATATTTGGCAACTGAAGTGTTAGGTAAGCCTAAATGATTGTGAATTTTAATAATTTTGATAATGAAGTGTATTTAAAACTGTACACGTCCAGCAGTAGGTCTTAGAGCTGGGTCTGTATGAGGGTGTACCCGTGGTCAGCCATTTCGGCTGGGCCGTCTCCGACTGACCGCTGGTCTGAATAGGCTCCAGACTACAGCCTGCAACGTCGCGGCCGGCATGGCCGAGTGGGTCAATCGCCCGCCCGGCAGAAATCTGAGCCCGGGGAAGTCCTGGGTTCGAGCCCCGGCGGCTGTTGCTTTTCTGGTGAGCTGCATTTTCCTCGGTCTGGTGGATGAGGCTCAGCC